ACATTCAGCTCTTTCTGGAGATGGGAATTATGACTCATGTTTTTTTTTCATTCTTTTCAAAATATTAAAAATTTCATTTCCCAGATAAATGCGTTCTGATCTCATCATTTCAGGAACAAAATTTTCTTTAAAATCTGCTTCAGTGAATTTTGCCTATTTTTTAACTTTTAGGCAGCTGTTTGCTGCTAAACTGCTCATCCTAAAACAGTTTATTTTTTTGTAAATAAGCTTTTATTGGGTGATTTAATAAAATTTCAATCGTATTTTATTGCTTTAAAGTTCTGCTCTTTTTACCTAAGCCTTTGGTGGTGTTAGCTTTTAGCTAGCCTTTTGTTCTTTTTCGATTTTAGATCGTATTTTGCCACCATTAGTTTCATTTATTACCGTTGGCTATGTTCTGATACTTGCAGCTAGCCTTTGACACTTTTAGCTAATCTTTTGCTTGTACTTAAGTGACTTTAGCTGATGTTTTGCTACTAATATTACTACTGTTTGCTTCTCATTACCATTTCACTACTTTTAGCTATTTGATGGCATCGTGCCAAATATTGCTTTCAACTTTACCTTTACTTCTTGCTTTTAGTTAGCGTTTGTTGTTGTTAGTTAGCATTTAGCTACTTTTTGGTACTTTTGGCTTTTAGCCACTGCTATGCCTCTGTTAGCTTACATTTAAACATACAATTAAGATTTGTTAAGAGAGAGAGTTGATTTAAAGGAATTGAGATTTTATTTTTAAACTTTGAACTCGTTTAAAGGAAAGAAAAACTTTAATTCAAGGAATACAACAAAACTGATGTTAAAACTGCAGGAAAAGTTTGTATATTTATGAATAAAGCTTAGTTTGTTGAAAAAAAGTATAAAGTATTGTTTGTGAAAGATCCTATATTTAATTTAATTTATGGGGGAAAAGAGGAAGGACGAATTAAGATGTTTTTTCTTCTTTCTGCTTCCTTTCATTTAATTTATGATTTGTGTTTTTTATTGTAAAAATATTTTCTGTTTAATGAATTTATTAATGAACTCATTTTTAAGAAAATAGCTTTAAGCTATACTTTTACTAATTTTAGTTACAGTTCTGATACTTTCACCTAACTTTTTGATACTTTTAGCTAACCTTTTGCTACTTAGACTTGTAGCTAACCTTTGCTGACTTTTGCTGGTGTTAGCGTCTAGTTACCATTTCACTACTTTTAGTTTTTAGATAATATCCCACATTTTGCTTTTAACTCTAGGTTTTAGCTAGTAGTTGGTTGTTAGGTAGCATTTAGCTACTTTTTTTGTTTATTTTAGCCTCTGTTTTGCTGATTTTGCCCAATGTTCTGCTGCTTTGAGCTAGTGTCTTTTAGCTTTAGCTCTCAAGTTTCAGCTACTTTAGCACATTTCACCCAATTTCACAGAGGAATTTCACAGAGAAATGCAGTTTCTGTGGTTTATTCTAGTTTGTTTGAATATGGACAACATAATATGAAGGCATYTTAATAGGAAGATTATCAATCATTTAAATGGTTTTAGTAAACTGCTTTTTAAGTGAAGTACAGAAATACTCTCAAACTGACCTTGGTGTTTAAGCTTCGGAAAAGGGAGGTACGCACAAGAAAAAAAAATAGCTGCGCTCCCTTTTCAGCTGTCTGCCCAGCAATTTGTTCAATGCCACATCCATCCACCTATTCAACGGGCACAAAAAGAGTCCTGGAGAAGGAGGGGAGGRACATACAAAAGAGAAGTGCGTGGCAAGCAAGAAATTGAATGTCAAGGAGCCTTGTTTGCTCCTGATGGGGGTTTGAGGGTAAGCCTGAAAGGGAAAGAAAGACACAGAAAGAGAGAGAGAGAAAGAAAAAGATAATACAACATAAGAGGAAAGTATGGAGAGGAGGTAGAGCTGGAGATTTAGGGATAATAGAAGGCAGGGAGAACAGAGATGCAGCGATGCCATGTGACAGACAGAGAATAGAGAGAACTCCTGAACCACAAAAGGAGGAAGGAGTGTGAGCAGGATATTGGTGGGATCTAGAGTTGGAGATGGCCTCTCATAGCAGCAGCTATTTTTTTGTCAGAGACATGGCAGAGGGGCAAAAATAATAAAATGTGKCTTTTCTGCAGAAAAGGAGCGAACATCCGTGAGGTGTGAGGTCGTCTGGTTTCCACAGCCGCACTCTTAATCAGGTGGATGCAGGTCTGACTGAGTGACGTCCATTCCTTCTCCWCATTCTCTCCAAGGAACGCTCACAAACATCGCAGAAGGTCAGGACAGTCGCTCGCCCGCACACTGGCATCCGTGGAGCACAGATAAGCAACAGAGAGAGAGGGAGAGTCTGTGTCGAGCAGAAAAACAGAACAAGACAGATGGACGGACAAAGAAACAAGAGGGCAGAAGACAGAAGTTCAGAGGGACGAGGGAGTCCAACACTCCGTCCCGAGTACTCACTGAAAAAATAAACAAGTGCTGAAAAGCAAACTGAAAGGGAAGCCAGTGAACTGGTCAATGTGTTTCAGTATAAATAGCCCAATTAGTATTGCAGAGGCATGGCTGGGCTCTGAGCTGCAGCGTGGCAGAGCCGCTCTAATTACTGGCTAACTTGACCAATTATTCCACTGTTTAACCAGGCAGAAACTAAATCGCAGCACCTGGTTATTTAGACACACCGGCTGCCCTGACAGGCTTCATGTCATTAGCTGTCATCTTCAGTCACTGTCAACCTTCCTCTGACTCCTCCCACCTRCTTCACATTTACACAACAGATGAGGGAACTCACACTTTACATTCAATGATGGGATAGGTTTGTATTAAAATAACACTATTTTATCATTTTTGTCAGCTACTTTATTGTGAGTAAACATGTCCAGCAATAATCCAGTTTTGTGCCGAACCACCCAACATTACAATATTTTCTAAAATATTCACTTAACTCCACGAAAACCCCTGAACTATTAAAGCTTTTTGTCACAAAAAAATTCATGAACCTGTAATGTTAACTATGTGTGACGTTGGTTGATTATCAGACACTTTAATTTGATTATTTGCAACAGATTCATTTGTCTGCCTGTTAGCAAAATACCTCATTAACTATTCTCAGTATGCTACGACTAACAACTGGAGTCACCCCYGTTAAAGATGGCTGCAGCAGCTATTTGTCGTTAGCAAACACAAAAAAGTTTGTTTAAAGAGAAATGTAACAAAAAGTCTACGTAGAAGTAGAGATAATGTGACTAAATGCATACATGTCAACCCCTTCGGACATTCAGCTTCTATCTTGACCCTCAGAAAGCCAAACTTTTCACAAAAATTGGTAGTACTTTGACACACGTAGGTTGYAGCGAACAAGCAGACTGTCAGCGGTGGAGAGAGAATGGCGGCAGAAGAGCAGGGAGGGAAGGACGAGGAGGTGGCAAAATTATTTCCTTACAACAATGACTGATGCTTAACTACATTTTAAGGAAAGTTGTTGTTTTTTAATCCATGATTGCCATATACAATATGTCTTGTATATTAAAATGGGTGGAAATCTGTTTAATCTGTACAACTTGACGTGTGTAACAGTGTATTCACACCTGGCACATTTGGTCCATTTTAAACAGAGCAAAGTTCATTTCCCCCGTTGGTCCAGACCTTTTATGCAGGTGTGAGTACACTCCTGATGTGGATCAAACAACTGGACCCACACCCATTTTTTGAGTTGGTCTTTGGTTCACCTCCAAATGAATTCTGGAACAGTTTGCTTCAGGTGGGTGTGAATACAGACCGGCCTCCACCTGAACCAAATATACGTAGGAGTAGCTAAGTAACATTAACCCTTGTATGTTGCTAAAGCTAACACTGTGCTACAAACAATGAGCCGCTGTGGGTCAGGGAACGCAGAGCATTTTGTCTCCTTTAGGAGAACCGTCCCCATATTATAAGTAGATCATCACAAAGCCACCACTGAATGAGCTGCTCTTGATTTTCTAAATAGTCAGTTGTGTTAACCTCATCTTTTTATCTGGGTCTGTACTCTGTCCTGCCCCCGTCATTAACGTCCAATAGGAGCAATGATCGTCACCTGCGTGGCTTTATTTATAAATTATAGCCCTCTTGCAAAAAGCACAACGTGAATCCAAACTGCACCAAAGTAAAAAATAAAGTCCACTACTTGGTCTGAAACAAACAAGTGGACCGAAGGACTTTGCTGATGTGAATACACCCTAAAGTAAAGTAGAATGAAGACAAAAATCCAGCATGTGGAAACAAATTCCAGAGGATACYATTTTTGAAAGAACTGAATAGATTTAAATATACTTTTGTTGAAATTTTTAGTTGTTTTTTAAGTATAGAAGTTGAATGAGCTGAATATTTTGATATACAAGTGTAGCAGTAACTTGGATTGGAATGTCAAACCCAAACTTTGTTTACCTCAAGACTGTGGCCTCTAAGCATTATTCTGTCTCATGCCTACTGAGACAAGAGTGATTTGATTCATTTACCTCCAAAACCATTGTTTACTATCTACGACTGGTAA